TGTAGTTTACTAGTTTTGTGACAATGCATCTCTTTTCTGGATGATAAAGGCAGTTTGCAAAACTTTCTTCAATGGATGGTAGCGGTCAGTGTTGTATATGGACATATGTCCAAGCAAATTATTAGATATGGACAGTCCATGGACACAATATCCAATATCCATAGACATGGACATGTCCGTATTTTTATATGTTCATGGACATGGACATCCATATTTTTATATGTCTATGTCCATAGACAGTCCATGTCCATGTCCATGTCTATTGACAACACTGGTAGCGGTAACTTTAAGACTTTCTTCAGATTGATTCTCAAATACAATTAACTCTATAACGAACTAAAGTCAGTAAAGTGACATCTAGAGGATTATACGCACAATTTACAGTTTTTTCATGTGATTATAGCCGGGTTCTAACGTTATATTTAGGACAATGTTGCTTTTGTCAGGTACTTCAGGATCTTCTGGGAACCGCTCATGCATATAGATCTAAATTGCACAGATTTAACGGCCATATAGTCATATAGTATATCTCCAAGAAAAAAAATCTACGTATGTACGTACGTACAATAATTTTTAAAAATAGATTAGGGTATTATTTTTAGAATTCTGGGTTATTCTCTTAATTGTTTGTAAATAATAAAGCACATATGTATGTAAATCAAGTATCGATGTGCTAAGGTAATCTGATATACGAGTATACACGGTATACAGGGTATATGGGGTATATTCAGAAAATTTTGTTTTATCAATTTTTTCAACCATTTCAAAAAGCACAATAATAATTGTTACAGATTAAACCAAAATCTGATCAAACCAAATTTTTTTGTTTTTTAAGAAAAATTTAAGAAGTGATTTACTGTTAAAGGGTATAAGCATCATATAAGCATCATATTAAAAGTGGTAGACATTATATATAGAATTTTAATAGTAGTAGAAATGGCCAAAGATTTTCACAGAGAATACTATATAAACTTCTTTTTTATTAAGTAAGTATCTCTTTAACTACTAATTAAAGTTGTATAGGAAATTTGTGCAGTTCTAATAGTAATAAGATTGCTAAATTTGGTTTGGTGAATCATGAGATATTAACGATTTATATTTCACAATCATATGAAATTTTTTGCAGATTTGTGAAGAAAGTTTTATATGATCATAAAATATAAATTATTGATATCTCATAATTCATTAGACCAAATTTAGCAATCTTACTACTATTAGAACTGCAGAACTTCTTTTACAACTTTAATTAGTAGTCAAAGAGTAACTTACTTAGTAAAAAAAGAAGTTTATAGTACTCTTTGTGAAATCTTTGGTTATTCTACTACTTTTAAAATTCTATAAGTAATTCTGCTGATTTTTACTATGAAATTTCTACTTTTTAGTTGTGAACTACCCCTTAAACTTTTTGTAAAACATTTTTTGAGGTTCTTTTTAGTATTAGAAGTAGAATTTAAAGTTAGATTTATTAATAAATAAGTATATGTGGGTTTTATAGGCTCTAAGGATAGGCATGAGAGGTTCTTAGTTTCATTTTAAACAGATTTTATTTTAATCTGTGATAATAATTAACAAAATTGAGAAATGACATATAATAAATTAGAAACTATGCCTTAAGGGACGTGACAAAAATCAGTTGATTTGTTAGGGAAAGAGAGGATAAAAATTTTAAAATTATATATAAAGACCTGATCAAAATATATAATAAGAGAAGAGAGGTGATAAGCTTCTGATAAAAAAAAATCAGATGATAAATAACACTGCTCTAATAAAAATTCTAACTATCTGGTTAGACCACTTAACATCTCTAGGTTAGAGCTATCATTCTATTAAATTTTTACAATTAAAAAACTATCTAAACATTTAATATGTTTAAAACTTGTATCAAATTTTAAAAGATATTCTTTTAATATAATCACAGGTCCAACAATAAAATTTCGATGGCCTATCAGCTAGCCAATAGGTCTAAAAAAGGTCATATATATCTTACAATATTTGTCTGATAGGTACTATCTGATAGCTCACCGCTATTTGGCACATATCTGTGACCTATCGTCTTGGTGCATATCGACCACTTTTTGTGATATATATCCAAAATTTTGGCAAGAATATCGGCTTTAGAATATTGATACTTTATCTGGCAAACTCATATGATCATAGCGCAGCACTGCCTTGATATTTTTTAACCGATTATGACACAATACCAAATATTCAAATTATGAGCAAATATTGTGATCATGTAATAAAATATTTATACAATTTTAATAGTAAATAAAGCTAAGTAAAAATTACATTTATTTTTATTTTTTTTTTCAATGCTTACAATACTAATTAAAATTTATCATTTTTTAGAAAATTAAAAATTAAAAACACAATTATTGAATGTGTTCCCGGTAAGGAATTTTTCAATAACTTCCTTTCAGGTTTCTTTATTTTGCTCATTTTTGCGACAAATATTACCAGATTCAATTTCGCCCAACACTTTTCATGTTTGTGAGGTAGATTGTTTGCAGCGGTTTCTCTTGGTGGTTCATCGGTGACTTCTGGTAGTTCATCTGTGACAGTTATTCCTGGTGGTTCATCGTGATGATTATTCCTGGTGGTTCATCGGCGACGGTTGTTTCTGATGGTTCATTAGCGATAGCTTCTTCTTCGTCAAAATCGGACGTTGAACAAACTTCAAGATTGTTGATATCACTTGCAAGTGAACTTGCCCGCTTCATTAAAAAACTTGCTTTAGTAAAACCTCCGCTTGGATACTTCACATGATCTGGCTGTGCTTTAGATGTTTCGCTTTCTAAATAAAAATTTATAAATTAAATAATAAAATTTTTTTTTTAAAAAAAAAAAAATCACATTGTATAAGTACCTTTAATCGACCCTTCTTTATTGTTAATACACGTCAATGCTCTAAAAAATCCATTAAGGCCTTCTTGCTGCATAGTGGACTTCGGTCGTTCGTATATGGCTAGACCCTTCTGTGATTTATATCGTGTAATCGACATAACCACTGCATCAGAATATCCAAGTTCCTTTAGAACTTGAACCATGGTTTTCCTCCCAGAATGATTAGATATATTATGGGTGCCAAATTGTATATTGGCTGATTCACAGATGACCTGAAAATATTTTCTTAATTTTCGTTCGCCAAAAGCACGTCCATAGAACCACTGGCCATTAAATTCGACTTGTAATAAAGGTTAAAATTAGAAAAGATAAAAAAAAAAAAACTAAAAAAACAAATACAAAACAGATATTTACTCGTGTTTGTTGGAATCGGTTTCAAATAAAAATTTGACACGTTCGTAACAGGGCGTTTAACAAAATAGAACTCATAGTCGTCAATTATATATTTGATGTTGGGAAGACTAATAACCTCAGCTTTTCCATCATAGTCACTAAGACCCCGCTGATTTATTTTTGATCTAAAAATTTTCATGTCGATTCCTCCATCAAACCTTTTCACGAAGTTATCAATTCGAAGGTCTTGATGTTTGCCGCCCCGCTGAGCCAATAGAATAGAGTTATAAAAAAAAACACGGTGCAACAATCCTTCCGGAGTATCACGCTGCATAGTATGGTGGGTGAGGATATGTTCAACTTCTTGTAAGGTCAGCCCATCTGACCCAGTGCGTTCGCCAAGACCTTTTGCTGAAAGATTTTTTAATTTATCATTAACGATGGTGTTTAAATCAAAATAGACCTTCGGGTTAAGAATCTCTACGGGTTTCTGCATCACAGAATGTTGATTTAAGTGCCGCCAAATCGCCACTATACAGTTATGAACCAAAGACGCATGGTATTCACCATCTTTTCGTTTCATAGCGCATATGAATCGTGTTAGCTGATCTTCGAGGATCTCTTTTAAATCAATTTCTTCAATTTTACTCTCGTAGCCCAAGTTAGAACAAAATTCTTCAAGGGCCTTAATCCAAACCTGCGTCGCTTTGTGTGTTGATTGTACCCTTGAGTTCCTGTGAATAGCTTCAATTTCTTCCAAGGTAGGTTTAGAATACCTAACCTGCTAAAATTTTTATTCGCTTTTTTTTTTCATACGAACAAGAACTAAAAGAAATAAAAAACTGCTTTTACTTTATTTTTCCTATTTGAATTAAGCTTATTTACACTACAGCCTTCAATTTCAGCATTACCGGTCACAATTGACCCAACATTACTGTTCAAATTTAACATTTCATTACTGACCACGGTTAACCTGGCTTTCCTTTTTGCATTATCAGCCCTGGTTTCTCTGATCACAGGTGATGTAGCTTCGTTCGTTGCATTTTTTGCCCCAGATGATGAAATGGCATTCATCTTCACATCACCAGGTTTGTTCAATTTACTCTTTGATTTTGGCATTAAAACGTTTGCGCAGCTCTCAAAATATGTTTTACAGTGTCATAAGGTAAAAAAACTGTTTTTTATTAAAAAAAATATGGCACTGGTAAAAGCAGCGAAAGAGAGAAAAAAAAAATTTTTTTTTTATATAATTATCAAATCTCTAGATCTAAAATCTATATATAGGGGGGGGAGGATCGGCCATGATCATAAATTGCCAGATAACACCAATACTGGGCAAATTGTTGAATAACGGTAATTTGGCTCAAACAGACAAATGATTGGCTGACATGTGCTGCTTTGTGGCACGTGTCAACCAATCATTTGCCTGTTTGAGCCAAATTACGTTATTCAACAATTTTTGCCCAGTATTGTATACATATTTTCAGATATTTATACGATATTCTAAATTTCTAAGTGGTATATACTAAGTATCAACAGGATATTGGCTCACTAATAGTTATATAAATTTTGCTAATTGTTTATGATTCATAATTTAATAATATTTATATGACGTATAAAATCGATATTTTCATAATGAAAGCAATTAATAATCATTTATTTTCATATATACAAACATTGCTAGTTAATAACTAATACTATATGAATATACATTTTTGAATTATTCGCTAAAATCTATATGCTAAAGCTATTATTAATATGTGTTATAATATGAACGAAATAAAATTCATCTGTACTGATGTAAATAACGATGTCAAATTTTCTCTTGTTTGTCGCATTTTGCGCTATGAGATCCAGTAAGTTTCTAGATATCGTCTCTTTATCGTTGTTTACTGTCAAAGTAATAAATATGCATAAAAATTACATCAACTAAAAAATAGTATGTTTAGAAGGTCTATACCTTAATATTATCCTCAGTTTCCTCTTCGCTGTAACCAAATTTTCTGGTTGGAACATTCATTCTTTTTTTTTGCTTGATTTGGTTGGACTTACGAACAGGAGTTTTAGTACCAGGGTTGTTATTCGTAGAAGTTGATTCGCGATTATTTGTTTTTAGATCATTTGTATCAGAATTAGATCTACGCCTAGAATTACACTTGGAATTACACTTAGAATTACGCCTGGAATTAGTTGATTTGTAATTATTTGTTTCTGGATCATTTGAATCGGAATTATCGAATCTAGGATAGAAAGTTAATAAATATATAAATAAAATTTCTACCCGTTCTTAATTGCGTACCTTGATTTATTTTCCGGTCTGTACCTAGAATAATGTCCAAAATTAGTTGGTTCGTAATTATTTGTTTCAGGAACATTTGTATCAGAATTATTGAATCTAGGATAGAAAGTTAATAAATATCTAAATAAATTTTCTACTCATTCTTAATTGCATACTCTGATTCGTTTCTAGGTCTACGTCTGAAATTAGTTGGTTCATAATTGTCAGAATTGTCATAATTGTCTATATTGGATTCTAAATCGTTATTAGATCTGGTATCATTGGTATGCCCAGGTCCATCGTTATTAGATCCAGTATCAGTATGTCCAGGATCATTAGGTTCAGGATCATTATTACCATTATCGTTATTATTATTAGATCCCATATTAGGTGTAAGATAGTCATCATATCTATTATAATCGTAAGCTGAAGCAATTGTCTAAAAGGGTGTACCAAGAGGTGGTCTTATATTTCTTTTTCAGTTTTCGTTGTAATATTATTTCCATATAATTTTATTGGCTTGGTTCATTAAAGCCACCTCTTTGGTCTGATAAAAGATTTTTTTGTACTATATAGTTTTTAGAATAATTGTAAAATAAGCCAATATAGCTATTTTACAATAGAAATTCAAATTAAAATTCGAAATTACCCTTTCAGCCTCCATATGGGAGTATATACTTTAATAACATGATTATTTGGCTATGGGTTTTTTCTTTCGCCGCAAGTTCAATGTTGGTCTCGATTAACTCATCAGAATGGTATTCTGTCGTAACGACGACTTCAGCAAGGTGATCTTTCCATTCTTTCTTTCTAAGAGCATTTGGTCAATATTTCTCAATCATAGGATCTTTTATATAGATCATTTGTTGCAAACCTTCAATTCTTCTACCTTTTTTCTAAAATAAATAAATAAAATAATAAAATAAATAAATAAATAAATAAATATAAAAATAACAAAATATATAATAAGTCGATAGCTGTATACATCTTGCATGCATGAATTTTTTCCACCACGTTTCTTATTCACTTTATCCAATACAGGGTCCGCTTTAATCTTTGCTATTGAGTATATACTTTTATGATTTGTTTAGAGCGCATAAATGACTTCTTCATCCAAATATTCAAGGCTTTTATTAATATGCCTTTTCAAAGCAGTTAAAATGGAAAGCTCAACAAATTCTTTTTGTTCACGTCAGTTTTTTTGATAGCTAACCACTAGCTGAGGATGCTCATTTGCTAATTGCCTAGCTGCATGAAGTACTTCTTTCTATAAAATAAATTATGCAATCCAATATTCCTATCATTAATATTATTTAATTAATTAATATATTAATTGAATACAATCATATCCTGAAAGCCTTTTTATATTCTTTGTCCATTGAGACTAATTGCCTTGCCCTAAACCTTTTTTGATCCAGGTCACAGTTCTTTCTAGGTGAAAACGATCTTTCTCTTTCCTTATTTTTTTTTCTTCCAACACCATTATCATCAACATCATCATTATAATCATTGATATTATTATTATCATGATTAGACATTGCAGATAATTGCGAACATCATAGATTTGAAGTGTCTGATTGTGCCCTTTTAATGCATTTTAATCTTTCTTTGAGGCGAGAAAGTTGAGACTTCAAAGACTTATTTTCTATGATAAAGTAAATTTGTTAGCTAATATTCGTATCATCAATAAAAAATAATTAAATATTAATATATTAAGGTAAATATTGTTTGCCGATATTCATATTATTAATATATAAGATAATAAAATAATAATAAGGTAAATATTGTTAGTTGATATTCGTATAATAAATATATAAAATAATAAAATGATTATTAATTAGTTTACCTTCTTTTAATGTATTTGTTTTCAAACGTTTAAGACTCCTTTCCTCTGAACTATCACAGTCGTATGAGTATGATCGAGAATGATTGTCATATGAATGAGAATATCAGGATTGATTATGAGAATGTCGAGTGAAAGAACGAGAATGGCGATGATGAGAATGATGATGTCGAGAACGCGAATGAGAAGATCAGAAGATGAATCAGAACTGTAATGGGAATGTGAACGGTGTCTTTTTTTGAAATTCATTACTTGTCGTGATCTTAGAGATGGTTCAAAACAAAAGAATGTTAAATGTGGTATGATATCAAATAGGAAAAAACCAAAAAAATATCTAAAAATTTCCAAAACTAATATGAATTCAAAAAAAGATATGTTAGATAAATCTATGCCGGAAATTAAAACTCTTTCCCGTACATCACTAAAATTAAGTAAACAAAAAAGTAAAAATCGAAAAAACCATAGAACATAATTAAATA